AAAGGGCGACCCATTCTGTTATTTCCACCCTCGTGTTTACCGAGGCAAGAAAAACTGTCAACACATTTTCCAAATATTTCCAATGAAAATATATTACTTGTAACGGCTGGCAATCTATTTTAGAATACATCCCTCAAGGGACAGTGACTAAAATCTGTCTCCCTGTGTGGAAAACACACATACATCATTGTTTTCTCTTTTGCTCTGGGTTTTCTAAGTATTCTTTTTTGGTCCCCTCAAGGAGAATCACACCTAACGCTGCCCACGGCCGGTCCCTCCGAACTTCCTCTTCTCTCTTCCTCTGTCTCTCTGTCTCTGTCTCTCTCTCTCTCTCTCACACACACACACACCTGCCGTTAGCACTTCTCCTCAAATATTTGCAGATGACTAACTCACTGTTAATCAGTTGAGGACAGTTTCCTTATACTCTGTAAATAGGGAGAAGTCCTGGCCTGGCAAGCGCATCTCTGCAGGGGGTTTGTCTTCTCTGTGGTGTTGCTGAGCATAGCCTGGGGCTTCTGGCTGTCTGAGTGGGTGCTCTACCTAAATGTGCCCTGCAGGGAGCAGATTCTTGATGAATCCTAGGAAGTGCTGGCCATGGCTTCCTGTCGCCTCTCTTGCACCCAGGGAGTGCCCAGTCCTCCTGGCCTACTGTCTGCAGTCACGCAAGACTGAGGGGTTTCCCGTGAGTCACCGGGAGCAGCTGGGGGCCCCAGGAGAGTCCTCAGACTTTCTGCCTGCATGGGCTCTGCCTAGAACGGTGCTGTCCACACAGGCTGTGGGGAAATCACTGGGCTATTAAAAACCCCAAGGACACCAGAGTTGGGGATGAGGGAGAAGAGGCAGGCACTGGTCTTCCTGATGCTCCCCAGGGATGCCAAAGGCAGCCAAGGTGAGAGTGTGGCTCTCTGTGATCGATGCCCCTCCTCCTGGCAAGCTCCTACTCACCTGACAAGACCCGCTGCTCACTCCCCATGATCTAGGGACACTGGTATGGCTTTATGCCATGCCACTGCCTCAGCAACAGGCCTGTGGCTCCTCCATTCCCATATGGTATCCACATCATCCACATGCTCCCTTGACAGCCCCCCTAGACTGTCAGCCACCAGGGTATATGATCCCCTCCACAATGAGGGGTCTAGTGTGATCTCTGGTCTGATCTTCTAGTCATTCACCAAACACTGGTGATGTCTCTAATCTCTGCTTAGTCCTGGGCTGTGCATGGATGATGGAAACGTTCTAAGGGTAGAGAGAAGAGCTAATGCACAACATATTAAGATCCAGTCCGTGTTGGCCTTACCCACAAGGGAAGAGTTACCACATGGCAGAGAAAGGACTATGACAAGGTTATGCATTTAGAGAGGAGCTTTTACTGCCTCTGGGGAAGACAGGTCTTGCTATCTTTGGAATAGGAGTACTTGTAGGTCCTCCTAATACAACACCCTGCCCAGAGTGAAGGCACAGTTAGAGACCTGTGCCAGCACTTACAACTATGCTAATAAAAACCATCTCTTCTAATCTTATGAAAGGCCACAGATGAAACAGTGTGACTCAAAAAAAAAAAAAAGAAAAGAAAAGAAAGAGTGTGACTCAGCTATGCATCCAGAAAACGCATCGAGTAGGAAGGACAGGAAATAATAAACTCCTAAATAATAAACCACCACCAGTGTCCATCCTCAGCTTCTGTCTCACAGAGTCGTGTGTCACTCAGGTCAGCAGTCAGCAAATGATGCCTAGAATCAGTTAAGCAAATGATGCTTCTCTGCCTCCCTTGCAGCTAGCTGTAGTCAGGGAACAAAGTGTTGGCACTTTGTGCCCCTTCCTTTCCATTGTTTCCTGCTTCCTGTCTGTTATGGCAGAACTTCCTGCTTCCTGTTCCTTACAGTGGATCATGAGACTGTAGCTGGTGCTGGTAGGTATGAAGGTCACGGGCTAATGGTGTGTTATTTTTCTTTCCTTCAGTACTGTGATGGAACCCAGGGCTGCCCTGCCCGTCAGCTAAAGTCTAGCATTTCTTCCTTCTTATTTTGACGCAGGTCTTGCTCAGTAGCTCAGGCTGGCCTTGAGCTCTTGATTTCCCTGCCCTTGTCTCCTGAGTAGCCAGGACGACAGGCTCAGAGTATTATGATTTCACTGTTGGCAAGCTGTTCAAAACTCTGAGGTCACTGTGTAAAAACTTAAAGGTTAAAATGGAACACAAAGCTAAACAGGCCACCCCAGTCCACCCAGTGAGCTCATAAGTATGGCCAGACTGCCGCACCCCAGTGCGTAGTTTTCTGCCTCAGTGGTGACACACTGGGGTGTAGTCAGGCACCAAGACCCATGTGATTTAAGTCACTGGAAACCAGTGTGTCTGTAGGCTGGGTTACAGAAACCTATGATGAGACCGCCACAGGCAGCCCCGACTACTCTGTGCAGCTTTTTCCTGTATCGCTTCATTTCATCTCAGCAGCCTCATGGGCCCAAGAGAGGACTAGACTGGAGGCAGCGGGGCTGGGATGGGGATCCTGGGTCCCAGACCCCTGACTTCAGCTGTGCTGCCTCACGGCAGGGCCTGGGAGTGACACCCATTCAGGGGCCCAGCATATCAGCTGGGTCACAGCGAGGCAAGAAGGGGCACTGTCCAGTTGCCAGGTGACAAAATTAAGGCTTGGGATGGATGAACAGGCTTAGGTCAGAGAGCTGGGACTCCCCATTAAGTGCAGACTTGGGCCCAGGTGTGCCAGGGGCTGAGCCTTTCTGGTAGTGTCTAGGAGGCAGTCAGAGTAACACCGTGACATCCACAGTGCTGAGCGGGGGGGATAATGGCTCACTGTGGCAGGTCTGGGCTGAGCTGGCACTGGGGCGGCCACAGGCCTTTGGTGGTGCTTTTGGTTCTGTGTGTCTAGACATTAGCACATCTCCACACCTCTGTGTGTCTAGACATTAGCGCACCTTCCCTGGGCAGGTGACATTCACATCCAAAAGCCATTTGGAATGCATGAAGCATGCGTGTGTCCCAGTGGTGGTCCATGCCTGGACATCACAGAAAGAGCTGGCCTTAGAAGCAGCAGTTCGGGGTTCCAATCCTTCCTTCTGCTTGTCACATTTCCCTAGCCAGACAGGAATAAAGCAAGCATCACCAAGGCCAGGCCCTGCTCTCCAGCTGGCCTGGGACCGTGCCTAGCTCCCACTTACCTGCTTTCTCCTGCCCACGTGCCAAGTCATCCCCATTTGTAGACCACGGAAGTCTCCCCACACAGCCCCCTGGGCTCATTTCCATTTCCTGAATCAGGTGCCTCCCTTAGTACAAGCCAGAGGTTTCCCTCACTCTAGGAACCTGAGTCAGGTGAACACAAACAGCCGCTTTCACCCCATATTTAGGAGGTTATGGATAGCCTTGGCCTCACGTTAGCGTTACTTTGGGACCATTAAAGGGAGGGGGTTGCTTCTTTCCTCCCTTTATTATAAAAAAGAAGCCTTTTGAAATTGTTTTTCCAAAATTAAATAATCACAACATTTACTTAATCCTGCAAGTCTGGCTAGATGTAGCTGATAAAAAGGTGACTGACACCGAGATACACGACAGAAACCTGCAATCCGAGGCACACAGCATGGCCGTGCTTTTCTAACCTGAATGGAGACGAATGCGATCAGAACGGACTCATTCCTGTCTCAGGCCCTTAGACAGTGTGAAAAATACCCAAGCGAATAATGACGCAGTCCCACAGCAAAAGCCTCGGGGATAATCCTAGCCCATTACTTCTCAGTCTCTCAGATATTCCTGGGATAGCCCGCGAAGCTCTGAAGATCATCGCAACGGTAATAGGGAAGAATCTGGTCAGTATTCTCCGTCACGAGGATACTTGCATACATCTGCTGTAAAAGGGCTCTTGGCAAATCAGATTTGCAGATCTTGATGTACAAAATGTCCCAGCTCTGCCCCGCGCACTAGCTTCTGCTGGCTCGCGCGCAGCTTTTTCTCCTTTTACAGGACTCCCAGGCCCCTGCCACAGCTCCCTTGCTCCTCTTTCCGGCGACATCTTTAATTATCTCTTTTCAAATTAGACGTGACAGAAGCTGCACTTCGGGATGTGGGCCAGAATAGTAGAATTTTGCATGGAGGTGATGCCATGCTCCGTCTTGGGGAACTCTTACAGGGACTCTGCGGCTGTGGGGACTGTCACAAGACGGATGGCGAGGCCACAGGCCAACTTGGGCAGTGAACATTGTGTTGTGATGGTTGTTGGCTGTGCTACATGACAAAGAATCAGCTGGCTTGAGGTGTGTGTGCACATGCGTGTACATGTACGTGTGCATGCAAGCTATTATACATCTGGATGTGTGCATACTGTTCACATCTATATGGGTGCACCATGTACAGGCACACGTGTACCTATATGCTTCCATGTGCGTGCATGTCGGCACACACATGTGTGTACCCATGAAGATGTGTAAGCGTGCACATTGTGTGCATGTGTGCATATATGCATGTCTGTGTGTTTATGTGCATGTGGATAAGTGTGCACACACACTGCATATGAGTGTATATCTGTGTATTGTGCATGTCCATGTGCATGTACACGTGTGTGTTTGGTATTTTCTTGCAGCCAGGGTGGCTTTGTGAGACTTTTATGTTCTCCTGTCATGGGATGCTTTGTAAACTCTTGTGGTTGGGCGAGGTTTAAAGGGAACTTTCCCTGCCTCACCACACCCATTTGCAGTCCCCTGGGAGAAGACCAGGCCCCTTTTTGAGAAGCAGAGTTCTGCAAATTCAAGACTGGGTTTGTGGCCCAGGGCGGGTTCTCGTGGAAATTCATCCAACTCTGGGTTTCCAAGGTTTCCAGTCAGCCTACACTTAGCCTCAGATGCCACAGAAACTGCCAGTCAGACATATTTTCCTGTTTACATAGCTCTGTTTTTTTCTGAGAATAATGTACAGAGCAGAGGGCCACGAAGACCGGTGGAGGTGAAGAGAACGGGGCTCCCTGGCCAGTGCCAACGGCGTGCCGGGTACTCACCGTGGTCGTGGGAAAACACCAACAGGTCCAGCCCCACCAGCATCTGAGCCAGGTCATCATAGCGGCCACAGTGCTCCCCAGCGCCATGTGACATGAAGACCAGGGCCCTGAAGAGGCAAGAAAGGGACCTGTTAGCGAGGCTAAACGTGAGAAGGGGGTCATTCTCGTGCTGGCCTCTGTGGCCGGGAGGACCGGAGCCAACCCTGGCCTCCCTGTGGGCTCACCGTGTGCTTTACTTCTTTACAGATGCGAGTGAGATTCACAGAAGTGGCGTGAACTGCCCAAGCCACCCTCCAAGCTGGCAAAATACATGACTCAGAGTACGTCCCCACCTAGCTGTCCGGGGGCCGTCACAGGGCTCAGGACACAGACGTCCCCTCAGAGAGGCTGGGGCTGTCAGCACACACCTCACGGTGCCATGGCTCTGGACACTCACTTGCTGCCCAGCTCCCTGGCTGCCTACCCCCCGAGGTCAGCTCTCCGAGAACAGGAGCCCCAGACACATCCCGGCCCAGCAGCACCGAGCCGGGGCTCAGGGCCTGCCAGGTTCCGGAGTCCTCTTTCCTGAGTGGTGTTAGCCGCGCTGTCCCGGCTGCTTTGATATCCTGAATCAACTCAGAACGTTGCCCTTTCATGGTCATGTTGACTTTAGGGAGCAGCCAGAAGTTGCAGAGCACCAGGCCCAGTGAACAGATGCATGAGGACACAGCACCACGTTTCCGTGAGCCCGCCTTTCCACTGGATGGCATTCGGCAGTAGCACTTACTGTATTTTGGATCGCACCTCATAGAGACACTCATGAAAGAGGACTTCCGAAACTGCTTCAGAACGTGGCAAAAATGATGGGGTAAGTGTGCTGGAAGTGAGGGGGATTCATGGCCATATGTCTTTTACTATAACAGTTTTTTAAAAATATGAACATGCACCCCATATTTTGACCACCCTTCATATACTCCAAAGCCTGTGCCATCCCCTCGCCGCCTCTCGGCTATGGTGTGTGTGTACCCTGGGGGCTGGCACTGCTCTGTCTCTGCGGCACTGTATTTTACTCTTGGAGTCCCTTCATTTCTCCAAAATACTTCTGGCCTCTGTTCTCCCTGCCCTTTGCTAAAACGCAAGAGAGTCCCCCACGCCGGCTGGGTGGCTCCACAGCTGCCTCCGTGTGCCCAGACATCCACAGGAGCCCATGGGCCAGCTCTGGCTCCTTTCCTTGTTTTCCTTGGTGCCGAGCAGCTCGGCTGGAACCAGCCATCCTCTCCCCATCCACAAAGGCAGCGCCCCACGGGGCGAACAGCTCAGCCCCCACATCCTTGGGGACCACAGCAGCTGCCGGAGCAATCCAGCGACAGTTAATGTGAACACAATGCACGGAAGAGTGATCAACTGGGTGTTGCAGTTCATCAGGGGCTACATAGCAGAGGACTCCGAGTTTCACTTAGGAATGGCCCGAGGCCTTATCATCATACCTGTGATAGAAAGCATGGCCCAGGCAATGCACTGGACTATCTGAGCACCCTGTGGCGGCCAAGCACGGAGGTACAGGTGGCTTCGTCTCTGTCTCTGCGGGAGGACGTGGATTCAGAGCCATCAGGCAATGTGCCAGGCTCACTTGCAGCCATGCTGACAATCACATCAGGCGGTTTGCTCTGGGTCACCGGCTCCGGGCGACTATGCTGTGTGATTAATGTCCACCCTGGCTTCTCAGGGCTGTGAGTCCTCCATGCCTTCTGAGTGGCTCCACTCTGCTGTGAGTCCTTCTAATCCTTCTAATCCAGTGGGCCTCAACTGGGGACCTTATAGAAGTCCCAAGGCATCCCCATCCTCCAGGCCTCTGAGCTTAATGAATCTGGGGCATGAGGAGCCCTTCCATGGCTCTGTGTTCAGCCAGGGTGGAAAGTGCCCTGTCCAATGACTGCAGAGTACAGACCACAGTGGTCCCTAGGCCCTGACATTGGTAAGAAGGTGGCCGTTGTGGGTCCATTGCCTCTTCCCTCCGGGGATTTGGTGGACAAATGGTGGGGTGTGCATAAAGGTAGACAGTGTTCTGAGGCAGATTTATGGGTTCTTTCTGCATCAGCACAGAGCTTTTGGAGCGCACCGCTGTGATCCCTCGTCTGAGTGACACGGCTGTCCCACTGCAGGCGAGAGGTCGTGGCCTCCCTTCTCGCTGTGCCGCAGGCTCAGCCTCCTCCATCCACAACCCCACCCCCGCCCGCACTCGAAAGCTCAGCCCCACGCCCCATCTTGGCCCCACTGCTGTCTGAAGCTGCTGCTGCAGGCCCTGGGTTCTGTCTTGGTTCCTGGCCCACATCTCTCCTGGACTCCAATTCTGATCCATTAACATCCCCACCCCCTACCCGCACTGCCGCTGGCTCCCACATGTACTCTTTCCTGGACCCGAGTCTGTTCTGTAGACTTGGTCTGGCACAGTGAAATCAAATCACACTGCCCTTCTGCCCGAAGCCCTCCAGGGACTGGCCATGCAATGGAGCAAGGCTGGCTCTCTCCGCAGCTCCGCCACTGCCCTCCTCCCAGCGCAGTTCTCCGGGCCTTGTGCAGGCCCTGCCCACCTCCGTGGTGTGAACCCTCTCCCCACACAGCTCTGCAGCTATCCACATCATGTCACTGGACACCCTGTTGGGAAGACATGAGCCCGGTCTACTCGTGTGAGCCTGCTCCAGCCAGTTCAGGTTGGTTGTGCGCACTGCTAGGGAGCACGTTCCCACTTCCGGGTCTGTACACCTGCTGGGGCTTCTGCTGGGGACCCCACCTGGCCCCCTGATCTTTGCATCTAGCTTCCTCTGTCGTGTGGGTTTCCAGCTCAGGGAGGCCCTCTCTGACCTCTTTGACTGATGTGGCCTCTTCAACACCTGTCACCATCTACAGCTCTTTATCCATTGACATATTTTCTTTGCCTCCTCCAGCCAGCACAAGCTCCGCGAGGGCAGAGTTATGTTACTCCTGTATGTCCAGCTTGGAGACAGGCTGGCGCACAGAGCTGAATGTATCTGGGACAATGACCAGAGGACCTCTCCACCAACCAGGCTTGGGCAGCATTCTTGAGTCGGTGCCACTTGGCTTCCAATGCTTTGCCCTTCCTCCCTTCCCCCACACACCTGCTGTGGGCGGAGCCCCCATGGCCCTCCTCCCATCCCTCCCCTCAGACCCCAGGGGGTCCCTGAGCTGCTGAGCATTCCACCTTTTGCCTTTGCCCCTAGGGTAAAGGGGCAGTTCCTAGCTCCAGGTTTTCTGATAGAATGTCTGCATTCACCCCTGCATGCTTGCCGCCCCAGAAACATCTTCTTAGGGGTTCTGCAAAACACTGGGTTTAATTTTCTGCTCTGAAACCATCCAGGACTGAGCACTGAGAAGCCAGGGTGGACATTAAACACACAGCATAGTCGCCCGGAGCCTGTGACCCAGAGCAAACCATCTGATGTGATTGTCAGCATGGCTGCAAGTGAGCCTGGAACACTGCCTGATGGCTCTGAATCCACGTCCTCCCGCAGAGACAGAGACAAGGCCACCTGTGTCTCTGTGCTTGGCTGCCACAGGGTGCTCAGATAGCCCAGGAGATGGCTGACAGCCTGTCGGAGCCAAGCCCCAGGGACACGGACATGAACACAAGTTGTCCGTCCCTGCCCCACACAGCTTACGGTCCAGCGGGAAAGCAGACACCTGGCAGGGGACACACGCTCAAGCATGGACGGTGGCAGAACACAAAGGGGACCAACAGGAGCCCTACTGGGGTTGGGGGAGTAGCCAGGCAAGGCCCTCGAGTGATGTACCCAAGAACCAGAGCTGGGGCATGTGGGAGCAGGTGCAGGAGTGCAGGTGGACAGGGTACCCCAGCTGTGCCATCACAGTGCTGAGAGCCCCCTGTGCCCTGACACTGCCTGGAGGGGTGGGTAGGAGACACGCTCCAGAGGTAGGCCGCAGCCTGGGCCCACACCACAGGCTCCGGGCCAGCAGCCAGACCTGGGGTTGCTCCTCCGCATGGGGTGGGACTCTGCGGGGTGGTGACCTAATGTGATTTCAGCTTTGCAGAGCCCCCACCCAGCTACTGCACAGAACAGAACTCAGAGACAAGGGGTGATGCTTGTCAAGGAGCTGATGCGGCCAGGCCCTAAGGGGCCGGGGAAGGTGGTCTTTCCCCCCACCTTCCCTCCCTCCACATCCTCAACAGAGAACAGCAGCCCCGCGACATTCGCAGTCACTTATGTGACCTGGCAATGCCCATGGCAAAACACAAGGCTGCAGGAGAGGCTGGCTGAGACCTCTTTCCTGGAACTCCCTCCCAGCTGCGGAAGCCAAGCCAGTGAGAATCAGCGACTAGGGAGGCGGAGGCCGCCCAGAGCAGATGGTCGGCCTGGCACCCAGCCCCAGGAGGTGGGGCCCGCCCCAGCGGAGCACTTGGAGCCCTGAGATGAACGCGCCTCTGCAGAACCTCGCAGAATGCACAAACCAGGGTGGCTGCATCCGTGCTCTGGTTTGAGGACAGAGCTTTTCTAATTGTTGGTGTGACCTACATCTTGGGTCTCATTTTTCTTGCCTGGGAAATGGGGATAATCCCACTGAACTGACCTCAGTTGGTGCTGCAAGGTAAATGAGAAAAGTGATGGGACGCTCCAGGCTTCCTGGGCTGCAGAAAGCCCCATGAAACCGTTTCTCCCATGGCATGGGTAGTCCATTCACAGCACGCAGGCCCTGGGTTTAAGCCCTGGGCCTCCCACAAACTAATGCCCTGATCTCCACGGGCCTCTGGTTTCTCTACTCATGAAATGGGAGCACTGTGCTAAGCACAGGGGCTTGGGGACGAAATGAGATCACATAGTTGACAGTGAGGCCTCCGCATCCTTAGCCATCGCCTCAGGACAGTGAGGGGGAGGAGGGCTGGTGATCATGGACAAGTCACATTCTTATTGGCTGCTGCCAGCCGCCTGGCTCAGGAGGGGATGAGCGGGAGGCGGGGGAGGATGGGGGACGGATGCCAACAGCTACCACTGCCTGGACAGACACAGCCCTGCGCTGCGGTGCCAGGATCCCCACCTCCACCAAGCACCACCCCCGGCGCCACCCCACCTCAGGACCTGGGCTGGGCCGGACT